TATGGACAGGCAGTTACCTTGGAGCGGGAAGTTCAATGGACTACAAAAGCACACACTGGCGCCCTAGCAGTTCATTGAGAACTACAAGCCATCAGCCACAATGGATGATGGTTCTTGTAGGCAATAATTCACAGGAAACTGTAAAGAAATGACATAGCTGTGTGGGCGGGGCTTCACACGGCTACATTATTTTCAAATTGTGACAGCGGCTGCAGGGAGACGATCCCCTTCCTACTGTCACAGGGAATGGTGGAGAGGCTGCAGGTGCTGGAACATGTTACATGCTCCACCCTAAAAATGGGTAAAACATGTTCCGAAAGGTGAACTTATCCTTTAAGCTGGCTATTGGATTGAAATGCAGTCAATTCAGTGGGGATTGGCCAAATTTGGATCCACCTATGGCTGTTCCTGCTTGACAGAAGTCAATGTAACTATTGACTTCTGTCAAACAGGCCTGTGGAAAACTTTCCTTCAAACAGTGTCTGCAGCACTGATCTGTATATTTTGAGTCCCCCTATCACAATAAAATAGCACAACGAGGAAGATTCCTCCATCCACCTTACTTTTGTGGATTGGCGAATCTGTTTTTTTTTTTCCAATCAGCCCTTTGTCTGATAAAACAAAAAGACCCATATATGCCTAGCCTTACACTGCAGCACTATCCTAGTCAATAGACATTATGAGGTATTTTACAACCGATCAAGTGTGCCAGATAAAAAGATCTTATGTCAGAGCACTTTAAAATGGCTGAGGATACACTGTACAATACAATGTATGGCAACTTTAAATTTCAGGTTGATGTCATCTTCATATATCTTTGACTTAATATCACAGGTATACAGGGGCGGACTGACAACTCATGAAATCCTGTTATAAGCAGCAGTAATTTGTATATATAACAAACACAGGATTAGATTGACCTTCTGAGATATTACCTTTCTAATCCTTGTACTCGTCTCTTCCATGCTCATCTGCCAGATGTATCTCAATAGTCAAATCAGGAGGCTTCCAACAAAGCATGCTCCAGGGAGACACACCCTGCCCTGAATACATCCTGCTGAAAACCACGTCTGGCAGGTCCTCTTTTATCAGCCTTGTCTTTTGTGTACACTGTCTGTAAAATACTTTTATCTATCCTAGTTAGTGTATATAAATCACATGAACAAAAACGTAGCTCTATAGTTGATCATATAACCAAATTATGTATGCTTAAACTGGTCATAGACCTATAGAAATTCAAACAACCAAAATTTATTTGCCATATTTTGAGGATACCATCATGAAGAGACAACATTTGGAATAACAATAAATTTGAAAAACATGCTATGTTTCTATTTTTTTCTTTTACTTTGGCATGTGCATTGCAAGAAGTGTGATTTTTACCATCCAAGAATGACATTGACATTTCAAAATTCGTTCTAGAAAATTTTTCCAAACTTCTTCAATTTTTCGTCTCTCTTAAGTCAAAAATGATGATCTATTTATACCATTAATTGTTAAACAGAATGAACTTTCCCAAATTGTTAAATTCTGTACATATTTCTACAGGTCTATGGACAACTTTAGATGTGTAATAATTTATCCAGAGGCTGGACATTGATGGTCTCATTTACCCACAGGTTTCAGAAGTCTTCTTAGGATCTTTTGAGTGGAGGATCTCAACATTGCAGTTCTCAATTGTATTCCCTCTTACAGAGTCTCATTCTACATTTTCCGCAATGTTAAATAAAACAGGGAGATTAAAACATCATCATGCAGCAAGGGGACAAACCTCACCACTCAAGACCAGCCACCTCCACTTATAGACATTATGTCCAATACCGGAATAGACTGTATTCTGGCTTGCTTCATGTTTTTCATGGTAAGCCCCAAGGAGCAGGGCCCTCTAATCCCTCTGTAAACTGTATTGTCTCCCTCCATAATGTAAAGCGCTGAGCAAACTGTCGGCGCTATATAAGTCCTGTATAATAATAATAATGGCACTTGCTTAGCATATTTTCTCTGAATCTCTGCCCTGCAATCTTGTACTGTATTCAACAAGGAAAGTCAAAGCCAAGTCCTCCATAAAGAGCGCTTGTCACCAGACCATTAATTTGAACAAAAATCTTTCCAAAAATATTATATGATGCATTTAATGTACTTTAGGTGTATTATTTAACTGCAAAAGCTTTTTGTAAAGACATCCAAAAGCCCTGAGACTGCTGCTGGGTGCTGCTATCTTGGATGTAATGTCAGCAGCCCCAAAAGACTCAGCTGTAACTTAAAGCAGTTCCACTCACACCTCACACTGTAAAAAAAAAAAAAAAAAAAAAAAAAAAAAAAGTCAGCAGCTACAAAAACAGCCACTCACCTGTCCCTCGATCCCGCAGTGTCCTCCACGCAGCCCGTTTCACTGGCCATCCTGTGTTACAGGCGCTGGCATCTTCAGTGTGGGCACCTGGCTGTGACAGCTTGCGGCTTCACAGCCGGTCGCCCAGTGCGCATGCGCGCGTAGCGCTGCGCTTTCTAAATGGCCCCATGGTCTTCTGGGACCTGTCATGTGTCCCAGAAATTTACAAAAAGGGAGGGTAGGACGACAACTTCCAATCACCTAGGCGATCACAGCAGAAGTGGGAACGGGTACCTGCTCCCCAAAAGGTGCCAATCCTTATTGGGAGCAGGGGACCAGTCTAAAGCGGAACTTCCCCTTTTGGGTCTAACTCAGCTTTAAGTGACACCATGGCATTCAATTTGTGCTTTTCCCAGAAGCTGCATAAAAGGTTATATAGGAAGGGGAAGGGCAGAGATGCTGGGCCATCACAGAAGTCATTAGATATTCTCAGAGGAGAGAGCTATGACTTTCAGTGAGGGAGGAATTGACTGTTCCTGGAGTGGTCACTTTTTTTTTTTTTTAACAAGTTCAAAAGGAACAAAAATCTTTTAATGGGGACACTGCAAGCATATAGAAAACTTGCATTCTCTTTGTTTTTCCCAGTGGTTTAGTGGAGGGTTTTTTTTGGTTCCTTTCAGCCCACCATAGATTATACCTTGTGGTTTGTTGCAGCTTGAAACTGGCTCTACTGTGCTTCACAATAATTATCCATGGAAATTTGTATCACTGGAAAGGATTTTCTCATAACATACTGTACAAAAAAAAAATCCTTTTGCTAAAGCTTGGTTTTTATCTTTAGTTTGTAAAATAAAAAAAAAAAAAAAAAAAAAAAAAAAATGATCAAAAAAAAAAAAAAAAAAAAAAAAAAAAAAGGGGGGGAGGGCAGACTTTGGGTCCACTGTCATGAGATTGCTGCCACTGCCATTCCCCCCTACTTTTAAGTGCACAGGTGAGTTTAACTGAAGAATGGGGCTATTGCCCCTTTAAAAATTTACCTTACCTGTCCAGGTAAATGTTAATTGGCATAGGGAATCCCATGTCCTTTGCAGATTTTCTTTTTGGATTAGGAGTAGCACAGTATGAAAAAGGCACCAACTGACCATGAAAGGGGAAGGGGGGGGGGGGGGGGGTCTCTTGGATTTGGTTGGTGCACAGGGCAGAGTATCCCTCTTCCCCTCCCTCGTCATATGTGCTTTGTCACCCAGAGGGGAGGGGGACTCCTTAATTTGTCCTAATGACTAAAGCATCTGGGTATGTGATATTTCAATACTTATTCTTGCAAATTTGTATTTCAATTCAGGTTACAAACCAATAAAGTGCTGCAGCAAGTTTCTTGCCAGATGCTTGTCCGGTATAGTTTATGTTTACATATGTTATTGGAGTTTTGGGGGTGGACATGTGGCCTGCAATCCTATGTCACCACTGAAAATGTATGTACTCTAGTATAGATGAAGAAATAGGACAATACACAAGGTTATGCAAAACCTGGGATTCTTTATTCAATGAAAATTATTGGACATAAAAATAAAAATGTTTCCAGGGAATAGTGGTGTCATTTAGGACTAAAGAACATGTGTATCATTACTTTCTGAAACAACTTTCCCATCTATAATCTTCTGTGTTGTTGTGATGACCTTCTTTACGGTCTGTGTGTTTGATGCTGAAAGGGCATCTTGGAGGCTGCAAAGAGAAAAAACAAATTTTTAAATGAGCGATCATAGACAAGAAAACCACTGCCTTTTTTATAGGTCGTGTGCTACTGTGTGGCCCCATTTGTTCATATGAAACCATGATGAAGTCACCTATATACACCGTAGCTATTAACGAGAAATTTGTGTCCATTTTCAGAAGGATGTCCACATTGAGATAAGAGGTCTGAATTCAATCATGGCAGGGATAATGGACACGCAGCGAACTCCTGGAATCACTTTGTAATCCAAAATAGTAGTTCATTGAAAATCTTTGCCATGTTAAGAAACATGTTAATATGAAAAATACAAATTGGTAGCAACTACAATTTTTAAAATAATTACCTGAAATCATCTCCATCGAGGAGACGTCTGTATGTCTGGATTTCAGATTCTAGCCTTAACTTGGTGTTAAGTAGGTCTGGTACTCATGTTGCTGTCTCTGGCAGTCACTGCGTATTTGTGTCAGCTCTCCCTCAAATGCCTGAACTTGAGCACCAAGTATTTCCAGTTCCATAGCATACCGATTTTCAGTGTCATGTAGGGAACCTTCAAGACTGAGTTTCTGTGAATTCAAAAAGGACCACTATTTAGTACAAAGCAGATTACACCTTGTCGACAAAGGTTTAGAACTCCACAAGACATTACCTGGTTGCGCAGGGTTTCCAGTTCTATCTCCAGAGACTGCAGATTGCGCCGCAGCTCTGTCACTGTTGTCTTGGAAGAATGAAGTGCCTCTGTATCCTGAGTGACCTGTACAGTATGCTCCTCCACCTGTAGATAGAGAAAACCCAATTTTACTTTACCGGACGCAATGCCAGATGCTTATCACATTGCTTTGCAATTTAAATACTCAACATTCTTTTCATGCCTTAATTTGAGACTCGAACAAATCTGAAAGTTCCATGGAATGTAAAATGTATACTAGTACATGTCATTTCTCATTTCTTTATTGGATAGTTCCATACCTTTGTCTGGTACCATTTTTCTGCATCTTCACGATTCTTCTGTGCCAGTGTGTCATACTGTGCCCGGATTTCTGCCATGATTTTGCCCAGGTCTTGTGTTTTGGGAGCGTCTACCTCCACGGTTACTGCAGAGCCAGCAATCTGGGCATGGAGTTCATGGACGTCCTTCAAAGACAAAAACAAAGGGTTAATTAGATCTTCCCCTTATGACCACCCTCAAGTATATATATATATATATATATATATATATATAAATAAATATAAATAGTGCCAAATTTGTAGGTAGAGTCTTTAATGGATGTATAAACCCATCTTCATATTTTATCAAGCAGAGGACCTGGCTGTATGGAAAAATTAGGTTAGGCTTGTGACTCCGTGGCAAATTCTGATAGCCGTGCTCATTGCAACATTTTTTTTTTTCATCCCATTGTAGTGCAAACAGACACAGGCTATAAGAGTGGCAACTCTGCTCTGACTTCAGGAGCAATGTAGCATCGTTGTCACACCATCAAAAGAAACTATATTAGGTGGACTACTCTGGCATGATAATCATCAATTTGTGCTACTCTGCAAAAGGGCTACGAAAACTAAATTCAGGCACAGTAAAGTTTTAAATGTAAGGACACCATTCTACTTTAAGAGCAATGCCTCACTGCAATTAGATTACAGACCCCATTTATATGTACTGTGGAGTTCAAAATTTTTTGCACAGAGCAGCCCTGATCCTCCTTTTCTGGGGTCCACCACCGAGTTGCGAGCTGTTGATCTCATACACACGCTGTATAGAGGTCAGGCTCAGGCAAGTAAGGGGGGGCTCATTATTGCACAGGGAGACTTTCCATACAAGCAAGAATGGTAGCAAGCTATACTATATATCCTCCCTTCCACAAGCTGCCAAAAGGTGGTGCAGGGAGGACATTTGTAGGTGAGGATAGTTACATGTTAAAACTCTTGTTTTAGGATTACTGTACATTTAATGTATATACAAACCCAAAATTTAATATGCCTGATATGTACCTGCTGTACCATGCACTTTAAAAAAGTATTACTTTGTATTGCCTCCTTTGTGTAAAACCCCTGGTGTATCTGCCAGTCCCTCTGCTTTCCTATCAAAAACTGACCACACTAAGCACGACTGCACAGCGCGGTCAGTTCTCTAGCTCTCTTCTCCCCACCAATGACCAGACTTCTGATGACACCCCCCCCCCCCAACAGCCATTTACTGGGAAGATCAGCGTGCGGCTGTTTCTCGCTTCTCCATGCAGCTGGGACTAGAGGGTATGTGATCACTTATTGGGGGGGGGGGGGGGGGGAAAAATAAAGGAGATGTATAATTTTTTTATATCTATATCCAAATGTTTCGCCTTTCATTTCTATTTTGAACTGAATGGGTTGTTTTTACATGGGGACATTTAAATGTACTTTTAACACCTGTTCCTTTGCAGCACCTTTTAACCTCTTAAATTTACTCACATCTTCATGGGACTTCTTCAGGTAGATCAGTTCTTCCTTCAGAGACTCAATCTCATTCTCCAAGTTGAGTCTGGAGATGTTGGTGTCATCGATGACTCTGCGCAGTCCTCCAATATCAGTCTCAACAGACAGGCGGATAGCCAACTCTGATTCATACCTAAAAGTTAGGATTAAAAAAAAAAAAATTTAGACTATCAGATCATAGGTTGAAACTTCCCCTCAAATGCCCTTGTTGCTTTTCTATTTTGACAGTGGATTAAATCTTGCTCAGTAGTGACAGCACATTTCATGCTGGCTTGGCATAGTCTAATTTATCCGTTGACATATTAGCAAATCATTCCTGTAAGCTAGGGAGTGTAATTATATACAGGAAGGGATAGCCTGTCTCGGTGTTCAGCTTCAGAGAGAAATCAAAAGACTTACTTTACTCTGAAGTCATCAGCAGCAAGGCGGGCATTGTCGATCTGCAGGACGAGCTGAGAGTTGTCCACAGTTCTATCAAATACCTAAAACAAGAGAAAATGGATTAGAAACTAAAAATACACAAATGTGAATAACTATTATTATTCCATTAGTCAGCAAAGCATCGTTTATTGATTACAAGTGAGACTTCAGTAGTCACATGCCAAACTAAAGAATGATGGCTTCTGATTGGTTGATGTGGGTGCCAGTTACTCTTTGCTCATTAACAAATCCTAAATGTGCTCTAGTTAGGCAAACTGCAATGTAAAACATTAAAAGCCTCCATGTAATACTGGAATATACGAGAAGTTACAAGTCCCAGTCCAAAAATGAGGATTATGTCCAGGTTTGACAATTCTTTGCATCACTGTTATACGCTCTGAAGGCATGCTGGGTCTTTTAGTTCCACTGCTGGAGAAGCATATGTGCTTTTTTATATAAACTACATGAGTTAGTGGCAGGTTATTGCAGTTACAAACTATTATTGACTATCAGGGAATTAAGAGCACAAAGACCATACAAGACAATTTAAAATATATTTTTCAGACAAATCCCTCGAGTACTGCTCTGTATTCCACTAATGATTTGTTTGCAGCTGCACAGGACTGCCAGGAAGAGAATCCGCTTAACTCCATCCTGCCCACATCCTGAGGGTTAACTCTTCCAATCCCTTCCAAGACTTTCTTGTACTTTTTGCACCCTGGTTATCACATTCACATCTAAGAACACAGGTAGAGTTTATGTATGGGATAAGCCAGTAAACCTAAAACTTTAAAAAGCCTTGTGTGTAAAAATCCTAAAACAAACATTTTAATCTTTCTCCCCCTCTTCCCCCCACACTTGAGAATGTATGTTAGTTATGAAACAAACACAAAATTCAGTTCAAAACCAGCAATAGCATCACATAGTGCAAACAAGAATGAGGTTCTAGTTGCAATAGCGCAGATAGGGGAATTTACTACAACTGGAGCAGCCAGAATCTGAAATTGTGCATAGCAACCAATCACCTTCCAGCTTTTATTTTCAATGCTTAAATGAAACGAGCTGAAGCTAGAAGCCGATTGGTTACTGTGCACAACTAGTCCAGATATTGTCTGCTGCAGTTTTAGAAAATCCCCCCCCTCTTCCCAAACAAACTATAAAAAGTTATACAGCAACTTTATAATTCTTAGATTATAAGATCCAAGGAGCAGGGCCCCCCTAACCCTCTTGTATTGAACTGTATTGTCTCCTGTTATATTATAAAGCACTGAGCAAACTGCTGCCACTATATAAACCCTGTATAATAAATATAATGCATACATATTCTAATATATATTTTACACACACACACAAGTATATTAGATAAAAAAAAAAAAAGTGTTACCTTTTAAAAACACTAAACCAGAACAAGCCAGCTAATTAGATCTAATAATAATTTTACTAAAACTATTTACTTTATAGTTTTCATTTAAATATCTAGAAAAAAAAAAAAAAAAAGTAAAATATATTTGCAAGGGGGGAGTTCTCACCTGTTTGCGCAGTTCCTCCAAAGTTTTGAAGTATGGAGCCCAGTCCTTGGTGGGTCCCTTCTTTTCCATATGCTGACGAATCTGCAGCTCCAGAGTTTGATTGGCTGCTTCCAGGCTGCGCACCCTGTCCAGGTAGGATGCCAGCCGGTCATTGAGGTCTTGCATGGTCTCCTTCTCATTTTGGACACCTCTTAGGAGACCCACTGAAGATGCTACTGCACCAGAGCCACCACCGAATCCAGAGCCACCACTGAATCCAGAGCCACCACCGAATCCAGAGCCACCACCGAATCCAGAGCCCACTGTAGACACCCTGGACACAGAGATCCGGGAGCCTGAGCCTCCTGCCCCAGCATAGACACTGGCAGAACTGCCACCTCCTACTGTCTGAGAGCCATAGGAGAAGAGGCGCTGGGATTTCAGTGGGGCATAGGAAGAAGTGGAGAAACTCATGGTTGCAGTTTCAATGTGGACAGAGGTGAACACAGACTACTGACACAATGCTACTGACTACTAAGCATTAGTCGGAGCAGAGCATTTATAGTGAGTAGGGGGCAGAGACAGTCATCTCCTCCTTCCAAATGATCCTCCCCACTGCATTCACTCTATTGACAGGGTGGAGATTCACGGGGGAAGGGGACAGACTTCATTCATTGGAAAGTAACATAAAAAGACCACACCTTTTATAAACCTCATGTAGTGATAGAGGTAAAACTGGATTTTTCTTTCTTCCCTTAATGTGATAACAAAAAAAAAAACCTGAATCCTAATGCACATCAGATTACAAAAGTAACAAAAGGGTAAAACAAAACAAAAAACTGGCCACATATCAACATATCTTTCACCAATACAACAAAATCTGATATCCACCCATTGCTTGAATGACTGCAAAGCACATTTAAAAATACAATGTCTTCTGTTTTGAGGCTCATTCACACGAGATGCGTTGGGGCTATGCAGGCAGCTATTTCCACCACATAGATTAGGCAAAATGCCTTGTTTTGTATGGTTTCAATTCACTATAGTTGAAAAAAGGTACTGCTCAGGAACTTTTATTCTTGTTTTTACTTGTGCAACGAAACACTGCACTGCAACGCCGCTGCAGTGGGTAGAAATGTAAAAACAAAAGGAAATAGTGTGATCCATGATGCTGGTGTGATGTGTGGTGCATGTGACTGCATCTGCTGTAAACGCACCCAATGACATACGTTTCTCAGCACCCTGGAAATTTTTCAGATTTTCATTATTCAGGACTCCTGGCTTATTTTGTGACCTGTAGGGTTTATGTATAAATTAAAATAAGCAATCAGGCGTCACAAGTGTTCTAGTTCTTGTGTATTCCTTAGAAAAGGGGAAAAGACCCTTCAGCATGTACACACTGCATGCTGCCATCAGCCAACATAGAAAGAAATAGTGTGACAAGTCCTGGATATTCAGCAGTTTAAAGCAGAGCTCCACCCAAAAGGGAAGTTCTGCTTTAAGTACTGGTTTCCCGCTCCCTGCGAGGAATTGGCACCTTTGGGGAGATGGGGGGGGGGGGGGGAGTGGGTACCCGAAATTTGCCAGGTTCCCACTTCCACTGCGATCGCCTAGGCAATTGGAAGTGAAAGTTGTCCTTCCCCTCTTCTTCCATGTAGTCTTCTGTGACAGGTCCCCAGGGGCGGATTGACCATTCGAGCACTCGGGCACTGCCCGAGGGCCCGGGGTCAGTAGGGGGCCCCATGAGATGCCCTGGTACCTTTCATTGGCTTTTTTCATAGGCTTTTTTGGGTATGGGTGAGGACACAGGGGCCCCATGATCCCCTATTGCCCACGGGCCCCATGAGTTGTCAGTCCGCGCCTGCAGGTCCCAGAAGACTACGGGACCATTTACAAGCTGCAGCGCTACTTGTGCATGCGCAGTGGGCACCCGGCTGTGACAGCTGATTCACACATGTGCGGTGCGGATTGAAGCTCAGGTTTCACAGCTAATTGACACAGTAGCTGTTCACAGGTTCACGTCAGGTTTACATCAGGTTCAGGACAGGATTAGCTCAGTATCTTATCCTGTTCACACATATGTGGTTTAGGAACGGTTCCCATAGAAGTCAGTAGCCTGTAATCTGCACCTGAACCTGACCGCACTGCTCAGAAATAGGACATGACTCTTTTTAAAACTGCCCCGAATCTGCACTGGCCATGCACCAGACATATGTGAACAGGCAACATAGGAAGCAATGGCATTTCACGTGTCATGCGGATTGGATGTGGTTCAAACTGCATCCAATCCACATATATGTGAACGGGCACTTAAGCCGCAAGCTGTCACAGCTGGGTGCCCACACTTTAGATGCCAGCGCCGGGGAGCGAGGACGGCCTGTGAAAGTGGCTGTGGTGAGAATGTGGCTGGATCGTGGGACAGGTGCATGGATGTTTTTTGAAAGTCAGCTAACAATTTTTTTGGTTTGACTGGAGCTCCACTTTAAGCTCTTTCCTCAGTCAGTAATTTATCCCAGGTGAAAATGAACAGATATACAATGTATTGTTATATAGCTTCTACATGTAATAGTAGCATCCATATTTACATAACCTTCTTAAGGCAAAACTCCACCCAAAAGGGAAGTTCCGGTTTAAAGACTGGTCCCCCACTCCCCAGAGGATTGATATTTCAGTTGAAGGATAGAAAGTGCAGTGGTGCCTGAATCGAGTTGCAGTACCCAATGATTGAATTTTGGCTGGTTCTTGAGTGTATGACCATCTTTAGGAACCTGTGAGGGCAGAGCACTTTGTAAATAGGAATGTTCGACTTGGCTGAACATTCTTGTTTATGGCAGTGCAATTGGGGCAGACGATTGATGGATTCTTAAGCCCAACATAGATCAATTGAATCTTGTCCAGTTCAGAAGGGAGCAGCCGAGATTTGATCCATCTATGGGCAGGCTGGTTGTACTGAAGTTGATCCATCAATTGACTTGGGCACAACCAGCCTGTTGGAGTTTTAGCATGTAATTACTGCCTGTGGCTATAGCCACTAGCAGTGATCACTGTTTTCTCCTCCACAGGCAAAACAATAGCGCTGCGGGAGGCATTCAATCGAGCGATTTTCTTTCTTGCAAACTGGGGTTGCAGGAAAGAAAGTCACAGTTATTACCTTTTGTATCACTTGACCCTTCCTCTTAGATTGTAAGTGCTAATGAATGAGTCCTCTGATTTCTCCTGTATTAAGTTGTATTGTAACTGCACTGTTTGCCCTTATGTTGCCAAGTGGTGTGCAAACTGTTGGTACTATATAAATCCTTAATAATAATATTAATCAGCAGCACCATCTATGGCTTGCCTTACTCTGCCTTTGTTCGGATGGAGAATGTCCACATGCTCCATAGACATTAGATTACTGCCTAATATAATTGTCTACATGACACAATGCTTTCATTTGCAATGTAAACAATTAGGTCACATAGGCCCCTTTCACGTGAGTAGCAAAAACAGGTGGTTGATCTGTGTTTTTACCAACCCTCAACCACCCACCTACAAATGTTCATGGTGTTGCCAGGGTGAGCTCACATTGCCTCAGCACCACCTGTCAAGCTCTTTCATGTGATTGGATGGGACCGCACTGCTACACTATATTGCCAAAATTATTGGGACGCCTGCTTTTATACATGAACTTTAATGGTATGACAGTCTTAGTCCATAGGGTTCAATATTGAGTTGGTCCACCCTTTGCAGCTATAACAGCTCCAACTCTTCTGGGAAGGTTGTCCACAAGGTCTAGGAGTGTGTCTATGGGAATGTTTGACCATTCTTCCAGAAGCACATTTGTGAGGTCAGGCACTGGTGTCGAACGAGAAGGCCTGGCTAGCAGTCTTTGCTCTAATTCATTTCAAAGGTGTTCTGTCAGGTAAGATCCGGACTCTGTGCAGGCCAGTCCTCCACCACAAACTCACTCATGGCTTTGTGCACTGGTGCGCCATCTTGTTGGAACAGGAAGGGAACATCCCCAAACTGTTCCCACAAAGTTGGGAGCATGAAATTGTCCAACATGTCTTGGTGTGCTGATGCCCTAAGAGTTCCCTTCACTGGAATTAAGGGGGCAAGCCCAACCCCTGAAAAACAACCCCACACCATAATCCCCCCTCCACCAAACTTTACACTTGGCACAATGCAGTCAGGCAAGACACATTCTTCGGATTGCCAGACAGAGAAGCGTGATTCATCACTCCAGAGAATACGTCTCTGCTGCTCTAGAGTCCAGTGGCAGCGTACCTTACACCATTGCATCTGACGCTTTGCATTGCGCTTGGTGATGTAAGGCTTGGATGCAGCTACTCAGCCATGGAAACTCATTCCATGAAGCTTTCTACACACTGTTGTTGTGCTAATCTGAAGGCCATATGAAGTCTGGAGGTTTTTAGATATTGACTCTTCAGACAGTTGGCGACTTCTACATGCGCTGAACCTGCTCTCTTATCTTACGTGGCCTATCTCTTTGTGACTGAGTTGCTGTTGTTCCCAGTTGCTTCCACTTTGTTATAATACCACTAAGCGCTCGTTCACACTTGACTGTTTTTCCAACTCTTGTCAAACGCCCCTATAGCGTTTGACAAGCGTTGGTCCGGCGTTTGCGGAACGTTTTTTAACGCTCTGCAAATGCTCCTCAAACACCACATGCACGGTTTAGTGGCGGTTGCTAGGCGTTTGCAAAGCGTTAAAAATGCCCCACAAATGCTTATAATGAAGTTTGAATGGTGGTTTGAATGGTGTTAAAGCGCTCCACAAAAGCCTCGCAAACGCCGGACTGGGCGTTTGTGGAGCGGCACCATAGACTTGAATTGGAGGCTTCAACTCCTCCTGACTGGACCAGAGGCGTCCGATTTGCCGCGATGCGACACAACGCGACGCTCCCGTGTGAACAGCACCATGTGCTGCAATGTACAGAATTTTCACAGGCATTTGGGAAGCGGTAAAAAACGCTTCCCAAACGCCTGTCTGCAGCTTGCAAACAAGGCTAGTGTGAACATCGCCTAACAGTTGACCGTACAACAATATTTATTTGCAAGGAAATTTTACGGATGGAATTATTTCACAGGTGGCAACCCATCATGGTACCACACTGAGCGCAACCTATTCTTTCACAAATGTTTATAGAATCAGTCTGTAAGCCTAGGTGTTGGATTTTATACACCTCTGGCCATGGAGGTGATTGGAACACCTGAATCCAATGAATTGGAGGGGTGTCTCAATACTTTTGGCAATATAGTGTACCATGAGCAAAACATTTGGCTCGTAGTTGCACTGCAGTCCTGCTATGCAAACTTGCCATTTTGGAGTAAATAGAAAAAAACAAAACAAAACAATGAAACAGGCATCAAGAGGCAAGAGTATTACCTGTTAAATGCCTACAACTGATACTTGTTTACACTGCAATTGAAACCATTGTGTCATGTATGTGGACAATTGTTATGTGTCTCATGTCTATTGGGCCAGAAGACACCCACCTTTTGAACAGTGATATTGGCATAAACAAGATTGTTCAGCAATCCACCAATTGCTTTTCAGAGGGGTGGTAAACACTACAGCTTGTGTGAAAGGATGGATTTATTGTGTTGATGCTATTTATACTTGTCATTGCAGCAACATGTGGTAAAATGAGCCCATTACTGCAACATACCTGATGTATTTGCAGTACATTGTGGTCTTGTACATTGAGAATAGCCCCATTAATGCACTGTAGAGTAGAGCTGAATGCATTATGCACTGCAGTGCACTACAATGTATATATCCTGTGTAATGTTGCCCTGCTTTGCCAGAAAAGGGTCATGTACATTTCTTATCCATTGCAATACATTAATGGCCTATTCAGACTTAATAGTTTGACCTAATGCAATGCATGTCAAATATTCAAACTATGCCCATTTATGCTTTATCTTTCTGTCAGGAGCTGGCACAAAAATTCAGAGTAAGGGCTCATTCAGGCAGCAGATTCAGTGGCTCTGTATTCAGATCCATGCACCCACTACTGCTGTATGTCAAACTTTGACATGTGATTGTGTCCAAGCTGGTGCTGCATGTACATCCACTTCTTTGGGCATCTGCCAGCAGCTCTGCACGGAGGACGGCATTAATCTGCCATCTAAATAAGCCCTAAAAAATGCTCAATCTGGTGCATATTTGCGGGCTTTGATGCATGTATGTATGTGCGTTTATGTTCCTTCATGTGTGTAATTTCATTATGTTGACAATTTGATCCAGACATTAGACTGAAATTACATGCATACTCTGCTAAATGTTGTTCTAAATTACGAATATAAATATCACAATATGAATGGACACATTGGATAATACTGAGCTGTGTTTAGAGGCATAAACAAAGCCTAAATGCACAGTGTGGCACTTTGTAATTCCCTGGAAAGGATCAAAAATGTATGAATGGTCCCTTCCATTTCTGTCCGAGTCCCTGCTGTGCCCTTTAGCAGTAAAGTATTTGTATTAGGTGTTGTGTCATTGTGTTCCCCTTACCTACATAGCAAAGTGGATGAATTGGGACAGAAGATCAGCCCAGTCCAGAATATGCTCTGTCCTGGAGCCATACGCAACGTGTGACCATCTTCATAAATAACTCTCCATGTCTGGAATAGATAATCGTGTCATCTAGTGAGATGCGATGTGACTTCTGCGGCTGATATTTTCAGACGGGATATTATTTCCCTGTCATTCTGCCCACTGTGTTAAACACACATTGGTGAGGAATGTACAAAACACATGTGGAAGGTGTGGTGCCGCCATCAGTCATTCCTTCCTGTAGTGTGACTTGGCATTCAGAGCTCAAAACCTTTCATTAAATCACCTGACCATGTAGTGCTGACTCATTCATACCCTTTAGACAAGTCCGGTAACCCCCAAGCTTCACCATATAAACTTCCACAAGTAGGCATTTTTTTTGGATGTATTTGGCTGGACT